TGCTTGCAAATACTCAAGAGAATCCATGGAAAAACAGCAGTCAACTCACCCAGAGATTGCTTGATCCTGTCGGAGCCTGTCGGATCATCTCCCCTCAACAGCATCACCCCGCCCCAGTGAACTGGGAGGCCGCCTGAGTTCGGATGCCGCTGTGAGCGCTGCCTGCGCGTCCGCCTTCTCAGCGACGGCGTTCTCCTGGTTCGTCTCGCGGGGAAAGCACCGGAGGGTGTCCTTCTGGTGGGTCCTCTGGTGAGGGGAAGAGGAAGTTTCTCTGGGTTAAAATAGGGTTTGAACCCTACTGGAAAATGCTGGAAAACAGAGGTAAGGAGGAGTCTGGGTTTTGGGTGACTGTACTGAAGTCGACTCAAGTGGCTGCTTTGACTGATAAGGGTGCAGGGATGAGGATGAATTTAGACTTCTTGCCCCGAAGAGTGAGACATGGGTAGGATGGGTATGATTGGCTACAAGGGTTATGTATCTATTTTGATCGTTATTTATATATAATGTTCTGTTCAATGGTACACTGGTCCAAACAAGATTGACAGAGTACAGATTGGTGAGCTGCGCATATTCCCACCCAATCCACTTTAGGCATCGTTTGTTCAATGTCTCTTAAATTCATCAAGGGAGAGATATGGAGAGATGGTCAAGGTCTTTCTGTGGCTAGATTGGACTGTCGATGCAGCTCAGTACTGCTGTCAGATTGCCCTGGTTCTATAATAAATGAATGTGCTGGATGCTTCTTGGGATTGCAACAACTCTCTCTTCTTCTACTTGGGAACTCTGGAGGACTATATAGCCAACTGTCAGAAACACCAGGCATCGTCCACCAACCGGACTTTGTGGACGTCTCCATAGCAGCTAGCTAGGCCTGTCGCCATGCCCATCTCCATGGTCCACCACAGAAGTCTCAAATGCAAGACTTCACTTGCTGGGATATAGCCGGTGTCCCCCCAACTGGGATACATGCATTCCAAGTGAAGTCCCCGCATGGTGGGCCAACCCCAATGCAAAACCATTGCTATTGGGGTTGGAGGCCATGGGTCTTGCTATTGGGGTATAGCCGAACTTGCCCCGGTTGGAGCCGTAGAACTTGGATGGCCCAACTTGGATGGTACCTCCGGTGTCCAGGTGTAACCGTATACCTCCGGTAACCCGTGGTGACCTCCGGTCCAATATACAGTGGTCCCCAAGTAGCTAGAAATATGGTTTTCCAAATCTGTCCAATACATGTTTCCTGGGGATCTACTTTTCTATCTATTTGGGGGTCAAACAATGTGTATATTAAACCCTTTACGAGCCCTCTGGCCAGATGGCGCCTCAAAAAACGGATAGCTTCCAACTGGTGAAACGTACAATGTCAACACCGACATGGCCACAGATCCGCTCGGTCAAGAATCTTCTCCCAAAATACCGGTCCGGAGGTTCGGTCCGCCCATGTTCTTCTTCACGACACAACGACACAGCGCCCCTGCCGAAAGCGACACAGCGCTCCTTCTCCGCCTCCAAGCGCGCCTTCTGTGCGCTGAGCCCCATGCGCTCGCTGCGGAGCATGGGCAGCCTGTAAATCCATGAGCGGCTTGGATGGATTTACAAGCACCTTCGTGGACCATGGACACTTCGAGAACGCACAATGTTCCTCTGGAAGCTGGGGGTACCCACAGCTTCCAGGAGTACAGAAGAAACACCACTGGTTATAGGGTAGTGCAGTCATGTGCAGTCAAACATCCTCAATCCTTTGTGCACATTCCCAACAAACGTTCTTGGGAACAAAAGTTGCATCAACCACTTGTGCCTCCCTCTGCCTTTGCAGACTGCTTTTGGAGCCCAGCCTGGTCTCCTCCTGTTGGATGCTCTCGTCCAGTCTCTTCCGGGTCTTCTTGCAGTTGCACTGCCTCGTTGTCGAGAAAATCTCACCCTCTCCAGTGGTGGATGTGTAGGCAGTGCTAGTCAGTGCTGGCAGCCATTCCAAATTTCCCAATAAAGCCGAAGGTTCGGAGTCACAGACTGACACAAGATTGGCATCAATGAAGTCTGGTCTGGGTCGACAGCATTAAGTCACATGTCCTACCGCCGCTTTCGCGGTTTGACCCGGAAAACAAGTACCCAACGAACTGGAGCCCTTGCGGGAGCCCTATACGGGGCCACTGACAAAGTCCTACCCAAAACCATGAAATCACAAGAAATTCATGGGGGGACGAGCAGGCATGACAATGTCGTTTCCCTGTAGTGAAAATGTTGATGTTGATAGCAAATGAGAAACAGACGGACCGACTGACTGAATGATTAGTCATAGTCATAGTCGCTTGCTCAATGACAGTGGTTCCTTCGTAGCATCACCTAGCACACAACAACTTGAGATTGCAGTGATTCTTCTCGGATGCGGAAACTCTGCCTACTCCTCCAGTTCGAGCTCTGCAGAAACTCTGCCAAACAACCTGTTCGGGCACGAGGTGTTGGAAAAAAAATCTGGGCGTGTACTCAAACCCTGTCGATATTACAAGAGATATCGGGCACACTTACTGTGTTTGGAATTCTCCAGTTCGGTTTTTGGGATGTCCTCCGGTGCCATGACCCAGGCCGATGATCCGGTGGCCCAGTGGCATCTGTTCCCAAAGCTTGGCATCCTCTTGGCCCTGCTTCTCGACTTTCTCCTCAAAACAACCAGGACAAAAGCATCCTAGGTGAGTTGAGTTTATATGACCAAATCGATCCAGGAAAATCGGGGCATGACATGACTGACATGAATCCCTCGAGATAGGCTCTTGACTTGTTGCAACATATTGCAACAAAAAAAACAGAATAGCGCAATCATCAACTACTGAATACATCCAGGGCTCACAAAAAAAAGAGACAAACTCAAGCAAGTCTGTTGGAGAAAAAAGGAACCTGACCCACCACCAAAAAAAGAAGGAAGGCGAGCCTCCCTCCAGTCATCCCGCAGATGTTCGGGTCGATGTCAACTGTCTGTCTCTCAAGCTGCGTTGACGCCGTGTTCACCGGTGAGATGGTCGAGATCGACCGGTGGCGGCGGATGTGGTGGTCCAATGAGTTCCAGGGTGACAAAGAAGGAGCCATTCATGTAGAAATATCTAGAATTTGGACATATTATTAGTAGACTCCTGATGAATAAACCCCCAATGTTTTCAGAGGTGTGTTCATTTCAATCTGGGGGGTGATGAATCAAGAGTCTACATTATATAGGGTCCCTATTAGCTACAATCTCTGCATCTAGAAGTGACTTATTGAAGCTCGGAGCGTTTGGATGCATTTGTTTTCCTAGTAGCTTCTTGTTCCTAGTAGTATGGCCAGGAGCCCCTAGTAATTAGCGTCCTTGCTCCTAGTAGCGATGCCAGGAGCCCCTAGTAGCTTCTTGTTCCTCCCTTCGTTCTCCTGAATCTTCTCAAGGAGATCTGTGACTCGGGCCACCGGGTTCTTCTGCACGCGCATCGCAAGCCCCCATGGGAGCAGCAACAGCAGCCTCGCAGCCATCGCCGCCAAAGACCACAAATGAACAGAAGACCAAATGAACCACCAAAATCAACATAAACGTACATAACTAGACTATACCGCTATACCAGCTGCTTCGTTCGGGGTCACCTGGCTCGACAATCCTACCACTTATAGATCTCTATTGGACACCAACGAATGCGCACACGGCTGCCCTTGGAGAGTCTGCTTCATGAAGAAGAAATCCCACCAGAGTGTCGTCATCATTGCAATGCGGCTCTTTTTGAACATCTATCAAACACTACATAGTGCAAACAGTTCCAAGGTATGCCCAAACGCACTCATGTCTGCGACATTCTCTGAATCCCCCAACAAAAAGGAAGCGCTGGAATATCTATATATTAGAATATCTATATATCATATACCACATGGATTTTCCAATATACCACTTCATATTTCTTGAGTTTTGAAGCTGTTCAGAGTTTCTTGGACATTCCACGATAAGATGGAAAGCGTTGCTTTTCCAGCATGCCGAATCCATCGACCTCTTCCACTTCATCAGGCCTCACAGGGCGTTCCAAGAAACCCGACTCCGTTGGTGGACACATCCAGAGTAGGGGCTGACTACGTCCGACTGTGTAACACCACACAGGAATTCATCATCTTGCACCACTTCTATATGGAATGCAAACTCATCCATGCTAAATGCTAAATCCAGTGGTAAAATAGCCATAAAGAGGCAGGTCACGATCCTTTTTCGGTTTTCCGTGCAGCTTCCGCAAACGATTGACCTTCCAATCTGGGCATCCAGGATGTAGCAGGCGAAGCAAAGCACTTGAGGAGAAGTTGTTGAACCTTTATAGCCTTTCCATGCCTTTCCAGTCGGTAGAACGGCTGCTAGCAAGAATCCCACTGGAGCAAAACTGCAAGACTGGAACCCAAAAACAATCTCTCAATCCTAATTCCCAGAACAAAACTCGCAGACATGCCATGGAACAATCCATCCAACATCACCTGACGGCATCCTTGGTGGTTTTCCGATCTGTATGTCTCAAGTGACTCCAGTGGGCTCAAGTAGTTGCGAGGCATTGCGCCCCAAACCCACCCAGTTGCGCCTTCCGGGCTCTTCTCCGGGCCGCGCGGGCCGTCGGCACTGGGGCTACTTCATTCTGTACTGGCTGAGCGGCGAGGAAGAACTCTGTTCCAGCATCTGAAAGCAACAGTCCACACCAATTGTTTTTTCAGGTTTGTTGCCACAAAGAAAGTTACGAATCCATGTAATTCAGTGTATTTTGGTGGCTTTTGATGGGGGGATAAGGGCACTCAGTCAAGTCCAGACTGCAACTCAGTGACATTTGAAAGGGGGACGCTTCTGATATATATGCGGCGCGGAAATCGCGGAAATGCTGTTCATGATCCTCCTCACCATGACAAAAACTGTGCCCAATGAAACTATATACGTACCCTACCCTAGTGATCTCCAGCCAGGACATGCATGGCATGGTCCAGGAAGGGTTCCCATCTGCGCAAAGCTGGCTGCAGTCCATCTTTTGCATCGCCGCACAAAATCGCTGCCAGGCCCTTCAAGCATCGTGAAGCCGATGGCTGTTCGCGTGGCGGGAAAAAGGACTGCGGGGGGTTGCCAGACGGTTTTCCCCTCCTCTCAGGCCACTTCTGCCTCTTTGGAGACGAAGAACCTCAGACGGGCCCGGCTCCAACCGTCGGACAGCCGGCTCACTCCCATGTCAAGCAACAAGCGATTGAAAAGGTGTAGAGTGGTCCATGGGGGGTCCTCAAAAGTGCTTGCGGCCGCTAGCCGTGGCACACCGGCTGGGCTGAAAGCAACTGCGAGATTCTGGCCCCGTGACGCAATCATGCTCGGAAGGGTTGAATGCGCGGCTATTTCCAGTGCAAAAAAAATACCAAACAGCAAGCAATAGCCATAGCAAGCAAAGCTGGCGCGATTCCGTTTGTTTTCAATCACTGATAATCCTTCACGAACTGCAAGCTCCCCAGTGCACTGTGTTGGGCAACCTTAGCCTGCTCCAGAATCTTCTGATGTTAAGTCAAAAGGTACAACCCCTGATCCGCACAGCCTTGTCTCTGTCTGTTTTCATGTTCTAATTGGGTTGAATTTGCCCTTTTTTATGTTTTGATTTGGTTGTTGAATTGACTGCTTGCTTGTTGCTGGGGTTGGACGAAAAGCGCGGGAAGGCGCCCGTTCGAACATCAAAGATCAGCCAAAAGTGAATAAGGCAACCCTAAAATTATTGTTTTGAACACTTTTTTCTCTTGGTGACCACATGGATTGACACAATGACATATTTGCACCCACCTCTCCCTTATATAGTTGCTGGCTACGAAGGACGTCTCAGGAACATGATGTGAAAAGCATAATGCCATGGATAAACGGTCTCACAAGCCTCACACAAGCCATCTTTCACCCTCTAGTTTGGGGCAAAGAAAGGTTCCACCATCGCGAACACCACCCATCCACCGATGAATCTGGAAAAAAAATTACTTTACTTCGAAATTCCCCACCCTCAAAGAATTGGTCTTCACAAGAGAAAAGCGGTTCGGCGCGAAAAGGATTCTTTATTGAAAACAAAACCACACATCGAATACTTACTTGTGAGGTTTCTGAACTTCGATTTTTTAATGCCTGGCAACCCCACATCCCTGCCAAGTCAACTTGTGGTGGATATGCTGTGGAACTGGTACTTGGGAGCACTCTGGTGAATGTGCTGGTGTAAAGGCTACGCGGGCTACTCGGGGCCACTCTGGTGGATGTGCTGTGTAAGGGCTACTCTGGGCCACTGTGGGCCACTCTGGTGGATGCGCTGTGTTCTTTGGGTTGCTCTGAGCTACGCTGGGACCACTCTGGTGGATGTGCAGAAGTAGCGAGTCTACTGAAGTCCAAAGTTCTTAAAATCTAACAGCCCCACAGTCCTACGGGTGAGAAGAAACTGCGTACAATACAAGTCTACAAGTATCCTGCGATCTCTTTGGTAAATGTGCTGTGGAGAAGCTAGGTTGCGCTACTAAAAACTGTGGTTGCTGTGGACCAGCTAAGTTGAACTACTTAGAAATCAGTTTGTGAATGTGCTGTGGAAGAGCTAGGCAGCTAGGTTTAGCTACTCAGGGATCAGTTTGGTGAACGTGGTGTGAATACTCAGAGGTCATTTTGGTGAATGTGCTGTGGACGTGCTACGTTGAATTACTCAGGGATTACTTTGGTGAACAGGGATCAGTTTGGCGAGCGTGCTGTGAAAGAGCCACTTTGGGCTACTCAGAGATCACCTTGGTGAACGTGCTGTGGAAAAGCTAGCTTGAATACTCAGGGATCACTCTGGGGAACGTGCTGTGGAAGAGCTACTTTGGGCTACTCCGGGATCTCTTTGGTGAACATGCTGTGGAAGTGCTGCGTTGAACTACTCAGGGATCACTTTGGTGAGTGTGCTATGGAAGAACTGCTTTGGGCTACTCAGGGATTACTTTGGCGAGTGTGGTGTGGAAGGGCTAAGTTGGGCTAGTCAGGGATTCCTTTGGCGAACGTGCTGTGAAAAAGCTACTTTGGGCTTCTCAAGGATTACTTTGGTCAACGTGCTGT